AAGATACGATTGAATTAATATATAGGTATGATTTTGATTCGTAGCTCATACTGACATCAGCGTCTACACCATGAAAACAGTTATTGTGTGAATGTTGATTTTTCCATGAAAAAAAAATCGAAATAAAACGATCTCACTGTTGTTTATACGTTAATGCGTTAATTTCTAATAAATTAACGGTTAACGGTTTTATTTAACGTTAATTTAAAATTAACGTTAACGTACCACCCCTACTCTCTAGTCATTCACCCTTTTTTAAATGCATCGCAGCTGTATATAAACAGCATGGTTGAACATACGAAATACAAATTTTCAGAATTTTTTTTCTCAACTATTTCTCGATTATTCGAGAGAATGCTGATCTCGATCGATGATCGAGAGAGGACTTCCCTAATTGGTCGGGCCGATATCAGACCAATTTATAGCCAGTCAGATCGCAACATCTGACTTGCTGGAATTCGGAAGAGGAATAATTGAAATGAAAATAAATTGAAAAAATATTAAAGAATGCAGCAGATATTATTTTAGTGTGCATCCAAGATTTAATGGGTTCTTATGTAAGATCTGGAATTAGATCTTGGGTACAAGATAACTGTATTATCTTGTACCTGAATATCCAAGATCTGTTAACATATCTGTACCTTGTATCTTGACCAAGATCTTGCTTACAAGATGTTTGTCTAGGGCCATTTTCACTTTTTCTGTTATTATATAGCATGAGCGCAATACCTAAGTCAAATATAAAACGAATTCGAGATATTCTATTAGCAGATGAAAATAGAATTAATAATGATGTTAATGATAATCAAGGTTCTGATTTTGAACATGGTGATGTTGTTACAGTTAGTCAACCAGAAACATTAAAAAAGAACGGTGTCACATGGTCTATGTATCCAAGCTTTTCTTCGAACCTCTATTCATTATGTATATCGGTATACGAGCTTATTTCTACTATTCTATTGAAAAAATGCATCAATTACTCATTTTCGATATTGTTCTCTTTTAGATATTCTTTATTGAAAGTAACACACCTATTTGTGAGTGGCGTAATTAGAGGGTTATAGTACATAAATAACTAGATGATTCAGAACAGAAGTATCGATTTGCTACAATTTTTTATGGGTGGGTCCACTTGGACCCCACAACATCCATAAAGTTTCAAAGTGACAACGTCTACGGAGGGTTAATATTATAAAATTATTCAAATTAAGTTTTCCTATTGCTCGATAGTTATACTGCTAAATCATATTTATCTTGTTGTTCATTCCAAAAATTTTATCGCTGGCATAAATACAAGCCAATATCTTTTATTATACTTTACAAATTATTCTGTGGCATTAATAGGAATATTAACTAGAAGAGAAAGAGTAACAATAAAAGGAGATATTTCTTTCTCTCTCGAGTATAGCTAGTATATGAAACAATTTCGAAAGTATCGAGTAAAATTCTTTGAATAGATCATTCTTTTTTTCTAGAAATTCCTCCGAATAAGTTTTTTCTATACTGGAAGATTATTCTCTAGAATGAATATAGCATATCGTTCTCTCTAATGCTCTTTTTTACAATTATATCATAGTGTCCTGTTATGTTTAAAATGAGATTTTTTTGCATCAAACTAGTTGTATAGACATTTATCTTTTGGTTTGTATTTTTGAGGTTTTATATACATGCGAGCCTATATTTTCTATGAACAGACAAACATATCATAATTATATAACGATTTATTTCTTATATTTTTTCTATGATCAGAATATATTTTGCTAGAATCTTTTTCGTTCTCTTAAATAGAAAATTTCTTACTTCTAGAATATGTTTGTGTGCCAAGAAGTACGTCCGTCGTAAAGGACGAGATTAGTTAGGGGTTATATGAACCACTGGACGTCCGCTCATAAGTCATAGAACTAATGAACATCCTTGTATTTGACGACACATAATCACCCACTGGACAATACGTAATCGTTCCCTGTATCCTTTTCTTTCTCTATATCATTTTCTCCCTATATATCTTTTGCATCTTCTCTCTCTCTCTCTCTCTCTCTAGTATATAAACTCGCGTTATATATGAAATAGACAGCAGTATAAGAAGAGTAATATTAGAGCAGTGGAGAGGCCGTTGAGTCGAGTTCACTTCTAAACAAGTCAAGTTCCAAGAAGATCATGTGGAATTGTTGTTAATATATTATACACACAGTGGCTAAAATATATAGCTGATACGAATCTACACTTTGTTGACCATCATCCTATCAGGATATATACGCAATTCTATATGCAGTGAAGTACAAAAGTCTTTGCCCTGTATATTGTCCAACATTTTAAAGCATATCTCTCTAAATTTCTAGACAGATTTTTCGAGAACATTCTAGTAGGTGAGAAGAGGTATATATATAGCTGTGTATATCGCGATTCATCGTAAACATTCTTCATCATTTTGGAAAAAATGTTTCAACAACGAAATCTTAGTGCAATGAAAACGAAGCGATCAACTATTTTACATTATTGGAATAATGGGCATCGATCTCCTGCAACAATTGCTCGTATAACAAAGATCCCAATCAGGACTGTTAAATACAATATCGTCAAGATTAAAAGCCAAGGCACAATTGAGGATAGACCACGCAAGATTACAGCAAATGATGACAAACCACTCGGTCAATGGATTCGGCGAAACAACGAGACAACATCGCAAGA